TCCAATTCCTAGGTTCCACGGACCAACCTACTGCCAACACTCGATTGTGCACTCAAGTATGTTTAATTGCGCTTTATCGTACAAAAACGCTGTATAATAAAAGCCATTTCGCTAGCCAGCGTGTCACAAACGACCACCAGGAACACAAGTGTGTCCCATTTTTATTGCAGCAAGCAAGCTGCAGCCCAACTGAAAATAATGCCAAGCAAAATAACAATGTAAAAGTGAAGAAAGACGATTACCGAAACAGGGAAATATGTCAGTTCGTTATAAGGATCATTTGACTGCTTCAGCACTATGGCCGCATCACCGGCAGCCCGAGCACGCACCGTACTGCTTCCATCACTGGCAATAGATATGTATTTCGATAGGTAGGACGGAACGGCAAATCGCACGGAACTGTCTTCTCTGTAGATGTTTTTCACAATTAATATTTCTAATTTGCAATAAAAATAATTTGGTTTCAATAAATAATTAATATTTATACTTTCCAATAGTAATTTCACATTTTGTAAGGAATCGGATGAAGGGTTCTCGGCGTCTGATTGCTCTCACCACAACCAAGCTTTCCCAGCAAACTATTCTAGTCTACCAGTTCAGTAAGCAGCAAGTCAGCCTTTTAGAAACATCTAATACAGGATCCCATCTACGGCTGTTTGGGCAACTTTGACATTCTTTGTAAATTAATTTTATGTTGCTTACAAGAAAATTTTAACTGAGCAGAATGTGAATTTAACCATTTCAGTCATCAAAACTGTTCAGATTAGCAGTTTGGAGACCCGGAGCTACCGGAAGCAGACATCTGCCTAAAATATTACGCCAGACTGTTTTGCCTGGAGAAGACATCTTCCCGTACAGAGCACCAGAGAAGGCACCAGCCCATACACATAGCCAAGTAGATGAGTCATGGAAATAAGTTTCATGGATTAAATTTCATTTATAGGCCAGGGAAAGTTCTTCCGGAACCAAATAATTTGGTTTTTAAAAACTACTTTACCCTACTTCCGAAGGCGAGAGGGAAATCGAATTCCATTTGCACTGGAATTAGTTCCCATGCGTAAAACTCGAGGGTAGGAGAGATACACAATTTTGAATATATTTCAGATATTTTTTCTAAATAACAATTCCTCGTCATCCTAAATTCTAGGCTCCCTGCCTTCCTTCCCTTCTATTTAGTTTTCAGTTTTATCAAACATTTTTTATTGATTCCATAAACCAAATTTTAAAAAAGTTCCTTGTATCCTTAATTGCAGCCAAATTTTAATTCAAACTTCACTCCCAATTTTTTTTCAGCCAAACGATTGGAAAAATTTTACCTGTTGCTCCGTAAATCAAGCTCTGCATCCGGTGACAATCGTATGACTGCAGATGGATTTCGTGGCGGCGAAATAAGCTTTAGCGGGTCAACAGCTGTAACAAGTAACTGATCGCTGTACTGTTTGTTGGCCTTGAAGAATGTTTTCGAATTGGCCGGAACTGTGACGGATACTTGTAGCATTGTTTGCCCCGCTCTCAATGCCTTTAGCTCAATTTGAAACTGATTTTCAGCGGATTCAGCCACAAAAACCTGCAACTGCTATGAATCGTTCAAAGCCGAGCAAATCAAAAAAAAAGAAGTTTTGATAAAAATGTACATTTTCTACAGCTGTAGAGGAAACAGGGAGTAAATACATCAGTTCGAGACTCTGGCAAGTTAAGTTTTAAGGTCAAGGCCCATTGGCCCACTGGCCCTTTGTCCTCAAAACCTAGTCTGTCCGGTATTCGAAGAATTTGATGACTGGTTATAATCGATAACGAAATTATTTGCTGTGATTAATCTCGTACGCGGGGCCCAGACGTGCATGAGGGATTGTACCGTGGTTCTGGGGTGGTACTTGGCTGGGGTACCCAATAGCAAAATCTCGGCGCTGAAACTTGCTTGGTTGCCGAGTTGAAATACCCGGACGGACGAACACAGCCGCCCCTGTCAATTTCACTAGCACGCATGTGGACGGGGGCTCAGGAAACTGGATAATTACTCATTCAAGAAGTGACGTCAAAAAAATAAATGGCAACGCGCACCAGACTAGCCGGTGCGATCATGCGTTTTGTGCAATTCAGCCCATCGAACCATTTGCCTGTTAATGATTTTCACTGCTTTGTACTTTAGTCTATGCAAAAATAGTTCAAACATTGAAAACCAGACGTAATGATTTTTACTTCCTTGTACTTTAGTCTATGCAAAAATAGTTCAAACATTGAAAAACAGTTAAGAAAATGATTTTCACTGCTTTGTACTTTAGTCTATGCAAAAATAGTTCAAACATTGAAAAACAGTTAAAGATTTCACTTCCTTGTACTTTAGTCTATGCAAAAATAGTTCAAACATTGAAAAACAGTTAAAAACTTTTCACTGCTTTGTACTTTAGTCTATGCAAAAATAGTTCAAACATTGAAAAATAGTTAAAAATTTCATGCACCAGTTCACTGCTTTGTGCTTTAGTCTATGCAAAAATAGTTCAAACATTGGAAAACAGTTAAAAATTTCAACAGACTAGCCGGTGCGATAATGCGTTTTGTGCAATTCGGCCCATCGAACGATTGCCTATTAATGATTTTCATGCTTTGTACTTTAGTCTATGCAAAAATAGTTCAAACATTGGAAAATAGTTAAAAATTTCACACACCAGTGCTTTGTTCTTTAGTCTATGCAAAAATAGTTCAAACATTGGAAAACAGTTAAAAATTTCACGCACTCTTGTACTTTAGTCTATGCAAAAATAGTTCAAACACTGAAAAACAGTTAAAAATTTCACGCACCAGCCTATGAAAGCTGAATTCGAAACCTTGAAGGATGAATATCTTTCA